CTCTCTCTCTCTCTCTCTCCCTCTCTCTCCCTCTCTCTACTGTTGCATTCCAGCACTCCCCCATCGTCAGCTTGCTCAACAAGGTTATACTCCGTTGTTTTGAGAAGCAGGCAAGTGTTAGATGCCTCTAATCCATCATCTTGGAACATGAGTTCTAGTTTCTTTTTTTTTTTTTCCAATCCCATATGGTTAAAACCCAGTGCCTCACATATGCTAGGCAAGGGCTCTACCACTGAGCCACAACCCCAGCCCTACACCCCTTTCTTGATATTAGATTTCTATCTCTATGACAGCCCAAAATTTCTTTGTGTTTCACATATCTGCATGTAATAGTGTACTCAAATTACACTTAGACATTCCTATTTCTTGAGCCACTGAATGAAACAGATTAATGAAAGAATGGATCAATGAAATGGAAGAATGTAACACACACATAATGTTAAGGAAAGTACATGTTTAAGATCTTGACATTCCCCAAGTTTTCCAAGCTCTTTTCAAACTCTTTGCAAATTATTAAACCAATGTTTCACTTATAAAACAATGCACAGGAAAGAGGAACCCATTACAACTCTCTCTCCCCTTTTGTTTATAATAATTTAGATCAGTAAAAATTCAGATCTTTGCTTTGATTGATTTAATGCATTGTCCAGGTTAGTTAAGATGTAGGGAGAGGTGGGGATTCCATGACCTCTTGGGGTCACAGATTATAGAGAACTTTCTCTAAATCTCATCTCTCATGTCAGTAGCACGTGTGATGTTATAACATGGTTCCTCCTGTCTTCTAAAATATTCACCTACATGCAGTGGTGTTTCTTTCATGCAATGATGTCCCTGAAGGAAAGTTTCATCATGATAGAGTACCTATAGTCTGAGGATATAAGAAAAAATGGATAACCAGGTGTCAGTGGCACACACCTGTCATCCAGTCTCTCAGGAGGCTGAGGCAAGAGAATCATGAGTTCAAAGCCAGCCTCAGCAACATCGAGGTGCTAAGCAACTCAGTGAGACTCTATCTCTAAATAGAATACAAAATAGGGCTGGAGATGTGGCCCAGTGGTTGAGTACCCCTGAGTTCAATTCCTGGCACAGCCCCCCACACACACCAAAAAAGAGAGAGAGAGAGAGAGAAAGAATGTATGCCATTGGGAAAATTAATCAGAAAAGGTTTCCTGATTTTCCCCTAAAGAAGAAATTACCTTCTTTCTTGAAGCCACCCATCTTAGGCTTAATTTCCTAAATTGTTCTAAGGATTCTAACAGGATACTCAGTATTGTATGCTTTTGACTCTGCTGCTCAAAGTTAGTTCTTGAGAAAGAGTGTATTTATCATGGTATGCAGCGTTTGGATTATAAAACTAGAAACTTCTCTGTGACTTTTAACGTAGAAGATTAGAGTCATGGATTTCACACCCACTTGCTTCATGAAATCATCTGTGTCCATGCCATCTCCTGCCTTCTTTTCCTCTGATTTATCAGTACCACACATTTTAAGACTTCATAACACACAATTTTGAGTTAATTATTGTTACATTTTATTCTTTTCAGAAAATAGTTATACTGTGGGGGGGCTACCATTTAGATTTTTATTGAGGCTGTGTATTTATTATGTAAAAAAAACAAGGAAATTTTATAATACTAAGAATTACCTTTTTTTGTATATTAAACCCACTTAGAGTCTCACCACCCAGAGATAATGACTATTGTTAACCGTAGGAGGGTATAATTTTCTAGACTTACATTTTTCTAAGTGAAAGATGTTCCCATACCTACCACATTGTATCTTGTTTCTTGACTTAATTATATTGAAAAACTTCACCTGGGTTATCCTTCTTCAGGCTCATTTTTAATAACTGCATCAAAATTTTAATGTATGAATGTGTAACAACATATGTAGTCAATTCCTCATGATTTGTATAATTTTAATTGTATCTTATGATGGGATTTTTTTTCTTGGAGATAACTATAATATATAATTGAAAATTCTTATAGCGATAGTTTTAAACCACATTTTATAATATTAATTTTCTGATACATTATTAAGACTAAATATGCTAAAACTTATATATTGTATTCAATTTAGGAGAACACAAACTGCACTTCATCCCTGCCCTGATTGGCCCCTTCCTAGAAGTGACCTTGATACCCCAGCCAGATCTCCGGAATGTCATGATTCCTATTTTTCATGATATGATGGACTGGGAGCAGAGGCGGAGTGGCAACTTTAAGCAGGTAGGCAGAAGTGTTCCTTGAAACAATTTCACTTACCCTCTAGCATCTCTGATTCCAGATTCAACCCTGAGCTGGGAAATAAAGGCTGGGGCCAGCACACCTTCATTTGGCTGGTCTGTCCTCTCCCATACCACATGGCCTGGACACTTCTCTTTGGTCTTGTGTTCCTCTGAGCCTCTAGGGAAGCCCTTTCAGTTAAAAAGTCTTTGATTTCCCAGTTCTATATTTAAGAACTTACAGAGACTTTATCTGCTCCCAGTTGGACACAGAATAGAGGAATCAGAGAGTTAATGAATCTTAAAGTCATTGAGCTCAGTGGTCTGCACATTGTATTTGGTGAATGGCTTAGCTTTGAGCATTGGATTCACAGTATGTTTTATTGCTCTTAGCTTGAAGCATTGAGAATTAATTTAAAGAAAAAAAAAGCAGGGGGAATTCTTGCAAAGAAAATCCCAAGGGGATGAACCTATCATTTCTCATTGACATAGGTTCTAATAGTGTTCTCTAGCTTGGGGAAGACAGACATTCTGATTTGAACACCAGATCTTATAAGGGATCAGCTGCTTTTGCCATGCCAAGTCCCTTAAGCTGGAGACAGTGAGTCTACTGTCTGTTCACACAATCAACGCACTACCCTGTTTGCTCATAGGATGTGTCCCTTGTTCTAAATGAAATCTTTTCTAAATGAAATCTTCCTCAAATCTTAGATGTCATTATCAACTGTATGAGCTGTCTGATTGCAAAAGGCAATTGCAAAAAGTGGTTCAATTAGCAAAAGCTTGGGTATTTCATGCGTATTGTTATATACATTTATTTTCAATAAAGTTTGGAAAGTGAAAGGATTTTGAAAAGTTGTGTTTGCCAGGTATGATGATGCACACCTGTAATCCCAGCTACTCAGGAGGTTGAGAAAGTTTAAGGCCAGTCTTGGCAATTTAGCAAGAACCTATTTTTTTTTTTTTTTAAGACTGGGAATGTAGCTCAGTGGTAGAATGAACCTGGGTTCAATCCCAGTATCACACACAGAAGAAGAAGTCATGCTTGGTGGTGGTGCGGGGGCGGGGGGGGGGGACCAGTTGCCTTCCCCCTTGTATTTATTTCTTGAAATTTGGTTTAAAGAAATAATTGGGCTCAGCACACTTACCAAGTCAAATAGCCCTCACAATCCCTAATTGTTTCAGTTCTCTCTGGCCATAGAGAGGTTTTTCGTTTTCTATCTCTTCTCATGCCTCAGATAGATCAAAGGATATTTTTTTTCTTCCTGATATTCAAGTTACAAAGAATTTACATCCTTGAAAATATAAATGTTTTGACTACAGTCCTTTCTCTCCCCTGCTGCTTATTGCTGACTTAGAGTATTTCCATGGGTCTACCATCTGTACATGGATAGGACAAGTTCTCAACTTCAGCAAAGATTTAGTGCAACCTCAACTGTTTTAGGAAAGAAAATAGATATAAAACACATCAAAGATTTAAATTCATGTATGTGGGCATGTTAGTTTGCTGATGTCCTTATATATAGTGATGTAAAGAGAAAAGAAATAGGACTGCCAGTTTTTACAGTCCCTAAAAAAGAATTCAAACATTTAAATTGGGCTGCAAGCATTCGTGTTTGAATCACAGATAGATAGATGTCTTTGGCAGTAGGCAGAGCCATCCAGCAGGGAGTTTGAAGTTAATTCCATCCAAATTAGTCCCATAGAATTCCAAGGGGATGTCTGCTATTAACCATGGCTGATAATGTCACTTTCACAAAATACAGTATGGCTTTTTCCCTGGGATAAATAAGTATGCTTTAATTTGCCTAGAAATGCTTGTGAACAGGAAGAAAGAAGAGTAATATTTGAGTATGTTTCAGGTGGAAGCAAAGCTAATTGACAAACTGGATAGCCTGATGTCAGAAGGCAAAGGTGATGAAACGTACCGGGAGCTCTTCAACAGTATGTGAGTAATGTTTTATCTCAAGTCGATTCTATTCGGGGGATTTGGTGTCAGTCCTGAGCTGCTCCACACTGGCGTAGCTGAGAGTTGCAAAGACAGCTTGGGTCTCATAGGACTGCTTTGTCTTTGTGAAGTGTGAAATAAAGGATAATTGCCTAACTCTGGAAAATGGATCTTATTATGTTGATGATTAGACATGTCTCCTTATTTTAATCTCTGATTAGGGCAGGTCATATGTGTTACATAACAAATCTCACTCTTTTCATGCCTAATAATTAAAAAAAAAAGAAGAAGAAAAAACATTGCTTCAAGATAATGATTTTAAGTAGGGCTATGAGTGGGAGAGGGACAAAGGGGTATGATTGTAACATGTCTGTTCAGTGATTTCCAAAGCCTGATATCCTTGGCTGATTTGCTATTGGAAAAATAACCTATTTTGCATTTGTTCTTTAGAACCTCGTTTAATCCATTTATACTGATTATTCACTCATGATTATTTAGTGCTTCCTTGATGTTTCTTATCACAATATTACGGAAGCAAATCATTTTTAATAAATTATATGTTTAGGATTTGTATGGAGGATAGAGAAATAATGGAGTGCTATAAAGAGACTTTGTGGTTGTCCCTACCAGTATTACCTGGTAACAGTCACAGGAATGAAATGCTTGTACGGAGTGTTCATCCACTGTGTTGAACTGGCTAGAGAGGACACGTGAGAATGGTTCGGGGCTTTGGGTTTTCTCTTCTGGTACCTGTTCTCTGTATGGCTTTCTGTAGATCTTAGTCATTTTTGAACCTGGTATACTTACAAGATCTTTCTTTTTTGAAGAAAGAATTAGCTCATTGATCTTGCAAAAATTTTTCAGTCCTTTCAGAAAAGTGTCAAAATAGTTCAGCATTAGATTTTCAGTTATGAAATATACTTTTAATTGTCCTTAAGCCAACTGTCAGCTAAAATTCAAGAATAGTATTTTGGTATTGATGACCAAATATAAGATTCTGTAATTCACATTAGGATTATTACTTTACAATGGTGGAAATACTAATATATAGGTTTGAAAAATATTATAAGTGACTGATAGACTAGGTAGATTTCAGCTTGCCTGATTCAAAATCATTCTTGAAGCTTTCAGGAAAATTATATTGAACGGAAAAGCCAAGAAAGGGTATAGAGATTTCATGTGGTGGTGGTGGGTGATAAAATGCATTCTTTGTACTGAGCCCTGAACACCATTTTCTTCTGATACTGTAATTAAACCAGAACTTTTAATAATTATTCACCAATCCCTTGTTCATTCTTGTGTATAAAGCGTCTGTCTTTCATGACAGCTGGAGTTTAGTAAGAATTCTGATTAAAACCTCATCCAATATAATAAATTGCTTTTGAAAACTGCTCTCATTTCAGTTACTAGTCTTTGGTTTGAACAAAGAACTAAAATGAAAAAGCACTCAGTAAAATGAATCTCTTGAGATTTGTGATTAATTATTTATAATAAGCTCACAAGATTAATAAATACATGCATAGTTCTATATTGCCTCTTATCTACTTTAATAAAGACCTGATAGCATGCAGTTTGGATTGCTTGTATATAAATATGACTTTGAAATAGACGATAGTACTTTGACATTAGAAGCAAACCAATAATTAAAATATTAAGCCTCTGTAATTAGGACTATTTTAAGAATCCTGATTCATTCAATGGAGATTTTTATTCTTTTGTTGATTTTTAGGATATTACTAGAAAGGCTGCTATAAATATTTTTCTTTCATGCTTTTGTGATCAGCATATTGAAAATAAGTCAAATCTGAAGTGATACTTAAATATCATTACTGCCTGGACTCAGATAAGAAAGTGAGAATCTCAACTATGTTTCAAGAAACAATAAAATGTGGTTTTGGTGATAGAAATCACAGTGAGTTAGCGTGATCACAGTGAGTCACTGCACACATTATGAATTAGGAACACACGCCATTATGGTACAGATTCTCAGTTCTCTGTAATTTATATCCAAAATATCTTAAATTTTGTTCGGAAGCTGAAAAGGTGGAAAGTAGCTCATTATTTCCTAAAGTGTAATACCTGCCAAAGTAGTCCCTGCAGAGTAGAACTTTACATTTGCATAGTACCTTAGAACTCATTTCATCTTTCCTGGCCTCTCAACATTATCTCCATGTACTCATACTACAACTTTTTGAAGTTAGTGGGGTTTATAATTTTTGTTAGCACTGAAATTGTGAAGCAGATACTGCAATGTTAAATATCTAAAAGAGAATATCAGAACCAAATTCTGCTTTCTCTGGATCCACCTGATTCACTTATTGGGCTTTATTTGTGTAGAGCTGGAATGCAGCAGTGACTGTGCTATCAGAGCATACAGTAGGCCTAATTTACTTGGGGAAAATTAAAGGGCTTCCCCCAAACAAGTAACATCCATCTCAGTTCTTTCTTCTGCTCTAATTCAATAAGACTTCAAATTATTTCAAAGATCTTTATTTTATGATCACATATTTAATTGCTGTTTGGAGACAGAAAATTAACTGTGTAACATCATACCTTAGATCTTTTACTCTTCTCTTTGGGTCGTTTAAGAAGAGTATGCACAGATACTAGTATATAATTCAGAGTGATAGTCTCAGCACGATCCTGTTATGATACAGAGGGAAGCAGATTGAGAATCAGATTCCACCACCTCTTTACCCCCAGAGCCTGGTGAGCAGTGTCATATGGCAATACCAGTGTTTTATCCAGATCTCCAATGTCATAGAGAGGCATTGATTATAAGCAGCCTTATCAATTAGCAATGAGAATTGCCTCTCTCTGTGATCAGATGGGGTCCCTATGTACTCCGTTTGAGCACATGAGCATGATTATAGACCAAATGAAGACACCCAGTCTGGCATAAATTATCTAGAAAGATTTTCTCTTGCTGCTGATGACTTCTCCTTATCAGTTCCTATCAGGTATACTGGGAACTGGCAAGCTTCTCAACAAAAGGAACAAGCCTGGGTGAAAACACAGGTGAATTGGGTTCCAGACCCAGTCCTAACATTTTTTATCTTGAGTCAGTCAAGAAAATAGACTGTGTACAACTTTGCCTCTTCTTATAAGAGGATTATGTGGCTCTGACTCCATACTGTCTCAGTAGGCTGTGCAAATTAATAAAACTCATGAGAGCAGTCTCCATGTATTTTTAGAATTATTACTTAACTTGAGTTCTTTGTTTTTTAGCCTCTGAAGTATATGAGGTGTAGGCTGTCACTTGGAGGAATTTCTACATCATCCTGTGTTGCTTTGGTAGGCAGGTTTTCATTTCAGGACTTGGTTCAATACCAGCTTGCCATTTGAGTTTGAAACAGGTGCTGTTCACAGGTTTTTAAAAGAAAATGCACTTAAACAAATTAAGGGACCTTCCCCCTGGAAGATTTGCCAGAATGAGCTTCATCTCTTCCATATGCAATCTCTATCCCACCCACCTTTAATCTATAAAATAGTTTAGAATAAATTAGGAAGGCAGGGGCTGGAGTTGGGGCTCAGTAGTAGAGCGCTCACCTAGTACATGCAAGGCACTGGGTTCAATCCTCAGCACTACGTAAAAATAAATAAAATAAAGGCATGTGTCCAACAACAACTAAAAAAAAATTTTAAAAAATTAGGAAGGCAAATTATTGGGAGTATAGAGGTAACAGATGAGGAAACAAGACAGAAAACTGGGCCCTAAGACAGAAATAGCAAGAAAAAGAGGAAAACTGAGGAGAACATAGCTGCAAAGAAAGCCTTGATGAGATAGCTTTTTTCCTTAGTATTTATTTTTCCACTAAGTGCATATATGATATGCTTAGATTGTACTGAAAGTATTGTATTGAAAGAAATATTTTCTTTCAGTCTTATTCCTAAAACCATGATGAAAGGGAAAGGAAACAAGATTTTAGACAAGAAATTATGATCATTAAATTCTGAGGGCTAGGGGAGGATATCCTCATATTGCTGTGCTCATGGGTTTTGATTTTTTGTTTTTTGTTTTTTGCTTTTTTTGTCTTTGTGGGTAAGTTCAGTCACTAAGCCCTTGCAAAGCCCAATGTTAATTTGCCAAGAGGCGGAGTGAAAGTAAAACAGATCCTCATTATTATGATTGTTATTATTTTGTGTTTACATAGTGCCTGTGCTCCAAGGTGTTTAGGACGAGGGGAGATGTAGGAGGAGAGACGTGGTTCAGTACTTGTCATCAATCTGCTGTAACAACCACTTAGAAAATCCTCTGTGATTAATGACAAAATGAATGAAACTGTTGAGTGAGTGCACAGATAGTACAATATGTATTGAGTGGGCAAATGTTAAGTGAAAGGAAAAAACGCAAAACGTCATCCCGCCTGTACAAGGATTTTCCTGTAGCAGTTGCGTTGCGGTAGAATTGCTTGGATGAGGATGCATTCCACTGAGAGGTAGGAAAACATTTTTATGTGAATAAAGCAAGCTCTTACTTAAAAGTAAACTTGGAGGTACTCCTGTTTTCACCTCTTGCAGTGTTATTTGATGTGGTGAGGCACAAGCCTCTGTTAGTATAAAAGAGAAGCTAGGAAAAAAAAATGTCTTTGAGATGTGAGGTGCTTTTGTATATTCTTGAAAATCTGATTATGTGCATGTGTTCATATTTTATAACTTGGATAATCTGAAAATCAATTTGCTTTGTCAATGCTTCCTGGATTAGAATTCCACTATTTGGTCCCTATCCTAGGTAAGACATTGTTTGCAAATTGTGCTACTTGTGAAATGTTGCAGTGGTTGCTAAGGCATTTAAGGTACTGATGAAAGTAAAATGGTTGTCATGGTGACTGATAAAAATAAATGTTGAAAATGCCCCGGGTTCTTTCTTTTCCAGTCTACTAAAGAAAATAGAGCGGGAAACATGGAGGGAAAGTGGCGTTTCATTAATTGCCACTGTAACTCGTCTAATGGAGAGGTTGCTAGATTACAGGTAAGCCACATCCCACGTTCTCCAGAAATGCTGCATGCCAGAATAGCAAATAGCCAGAACACAGTCAGGGTTCCACTTGAGTTGATTACTCAAGGAACTGATAATCACACCTTGGACTCTTAACCAGGTAGTTCAGAGTTTTTAATCTGAGCACTTTGGGGTTTGTTTTTGGTTTTTGATCTTTCAAAGTCTTGGAGAGTTGAGAGGGCTCTCAAAGTCATCCCTGACAGTTCTCAAAATAATAATAACAATAATAAAAAGTAATTTTTTTTGTCTCAACCAGTAGAAAATTTCAGCTCAACTACTAGAAAATCCTCTGTGGTTCCTTTGCTTTAGGGTGAAGAGGACTCTTTCCTTTTTAGAGGGAAGAGGGTATTATGTACCATAAGGCTCTCTCTTTTTAAAATGGTGGGGCTGGCAAGGGTAAAACTCCACTGTTACCTTTCCTAGCTTTAATTCCTTGATTTTTGTACTATCTAGACTTGCAAAGGAGTTCATCTCATTTACATGCACAGTGATCTTGTTTTCAAATAAGAACAAAACCCTCACTCTCTTGCCGGTGGCCAGGCTTGCCAGCTGCTTCTCCTCCCACTTTAGAAGGTGTTCAAAGTAACTTCACACTTATTTCCTGAGCCCCTTTCCATGGAGAGGGAGCAAGACCTTGATGCCGAAGTGAACTCTCAGCAGAAACTGTTGCTCAGGAGTCTCTGGCTTCCCAGCTTCACCAGAGACCCTTAGTCCCCGGAGCCTTTCTCTGAGCTCACACAATTGCCTCTGGTTTCTGACATTTTGGTGGGGGTCTGAGGGTGGGGGATAAAGTAACAAACCATTTTTTGCCCCTAAGAAGTAAGTTGGGATTTTTGTTGTTGTTTGCATAATTTTAGATTTATAGAAAAATAGCAAGTAGTAAGATGATAGAGGTTTCACGTATGTCCTCCTAAGAAGGAAGTTCTGACTGTTGCTTTTTGTTTTTAGGGACTGCATGAAAATGGGAGAGGTAGATGGCAAAAAGATCGGCTGTACAGTTAGCCTGCTGGTTAGTAACCCGTTCTCCTTTTCCTCCTTTTATCCTAACATTTGTTTTCTTTATGGAAATACTGGGGTTTTTTTGTTTGTTTGTTCTTAATCTGCAGTGTAATTTTTTTCCCCTTGGATGTTTCTGAGAAGAGTTTAGAAATGTTTCTCAGCTTCATGGCAAGTTGCAGATTGCATGAAAGCTCAGAAAATCTTCAGCTCTGAACATTGCAGAATGTGCCAGGTGCATGCCCTCAGCCCTAGTGCAGACCTCATGAGATCTCAGAGAACACAGCCCTTATTGCGTTGTTCGCCCTCCTCCAGTCTCATCCTGCCCTCCTGGGAAAAGGCACAGTATCCCCAGATTGAGGTCCTTTTGCTTCTGTGTCTTTTTTCCTTTCACCAGAATTATAATCATTCTATATTTTAATAAACATTACTGATCTCTTCTTTTGTGAACTAGTGACAATTTTCTTTTTCACCCACTGATTTTCAACTTCTAGCATCTTTGCAAATTCAATTGATGATAGCACTATTGTTAAGATTTGCATCCTAACCATAGGACCATATAGTGTATCACCCAGGCAGGACATTTTTGAGAGTGAAATTAAATATGATGTAAGGATAACTGTCTAAACCAATTGTCCTGAGCAAACCAAAATTGACATAAACTGTTACCCACCAAATGATTCTCACCACGGAGCACAAAAATGACCACACATTTAGATGTTTATTTTTCATATTTTAATACAGGGTAAATTAATGATTTTGATAATTTCCTTCAATCTGATGTGAAATATAAGAAGAATGACTGCTTCCACTTCCAAATTTGTGAATTTCATGGATTGTTTTTCTTACATTTTGCAAAATAGATGAAACATCTCTTCTAAGTACTTATACAGCCATTCTCACTCTTCCTCTGGTCCTCTGGACCCCTTAAAAAAAAAACTGTGCTGTTCTCTGTTTGCCTTCAAGTTTTCTTTTATCCCCTCTTTGATTTGATCTTAGTTCATTGGTTTCAGTCTTTTAAATTTTGTTTTGTTTCTCTCATAGTCCCTCTTCAAAGCTCAGAAGCTTCACTTTCTTGTGACTGTCTTTCTATACTTCCCTAATATTTTGCTATACTGTTCTTCATCTCTGAGTTGATGGCTTTGTCCTCTTTTACCACATCCACCTCTTCCTTCTCATTTTAAATTTAATTGCTACGTCTCCACCTCCAATATCAGCTCCTAAAAATAGCGAGACCTGAGCATCCTCTTTCAGGCTACATCTGATCCATGTGTTGTACACTTTCTCCCATAATTTTTGTCATCAGACCCAACAGTGACCTCCAGATCATCAGCCCAGACTCACGGTGTCAGCCCTTGCTGTCACTTCCAATCTTGAACAGTTATTCCTGTTAAGTCCACCATCATATCTCCCTACTTTCCTGCCAGCTTTTGTCAGTCTTTCATCAGGTTGAAAACCTCAGCCTGTTTTTCTCATGTCCTGCTTGTATATCAGTGTTCGGGAGAACAGCCAAGAGCTCAGTAAACTTCAGTCTGTCTCCCTAAACCTGACTATAGGGCAACTTCAGGCACAAAGTCTCCTCAGAAACCTCACCTTTCCCAAAGGAATCCTCTTGCGTTGTCTTCATCCCCTTTCACAGGTGCCTTCCAGTTGGAAGTGGCCAAATTAATGCTGTCCCTTGGTTCTTCAACCTCAACTGATATAAAAAAGAAGAGATCATTTCCTTGGGCTTACTCTAGTCTTCTAGTAGGAATAAACCAGAGATTTAATAAAACCAGAGGCCCCATCACTAATCACATGAGATGAGAGTTTATACTGATAGCTTTCCATAATCAAGAATAGTCCTTAGAGAAAATGTCAACATTTTAAGAGCTATTGCAATTTCAGTCCAGGACAAGAACGCTTATTACAGGACCAGATATATCACTTTGAAGCTAATCTTTTTAGCTTCTTCTCCATATGGAAAGTTCTTGATGTTTTCTTGCAGCAATATGGTTCTCTTCAACCACTTACTTCCTTTGAGAGATTTTTCTTAAGTCTTTGGAACAATCAGATCCAAATCCCCTTCAGGAGAGCTCTGGCTTCCCTTATAAGATCAGAGTTAAACTCTACTGTGAAATCGGCAAAAATGCATAATATTTGACATGACTAATACTAGGAAATGTAATTATTGTTTTGTTCCTGTGTCACAAGTTTTGCCAGACATATGTGAAATATTCTCATCTGCTGACTAGAGAGATCTTTTTTTTTTCTTAAGAACTATTCATTTATAGAGTTATCACTTATTTTTGTTCTCAAAGAAAACAGCTTCTTACCAGAAAGCTATTAGAGCAAATCAGCCTTTAATAATGTAGAAACCTGCTGTGGGGTTGTTAGGCTGTGTTTATGGTACAACAATTCTTGCTAATTAAAATGATTTTGGTTATAATGAGAGAGATTTGAATAGTATTATTTACTTAGCTTTTCAAAGAATGCCAGGAGTCTACAGGAAACAAAAGGAAAGAAGGAGGATAATGGTATGAATTGGAAAAAAGAAAACAATGCTTTTTGTTGAAGTCTTGAACTTAATTTCAGTGTCTCCAGTGAGAAGAGTCCTCATCTTGGAGAATGGACACCAGTAAGATAGTGGGCAGAAGGTATATCCAATAGAGGGCCATCAGATTTCAAGTCCAATTTAAGCAGTCACATTGGCTAGTTTAAAAGTCCATCAGCAAAGCCCTGTCTAGCTAATCAGCTTCAGAAATGGTCAGAATTCCTGGCCCTTTCCCCCTGAAAAACTTGTTGCTACTTAGTGTCGACAGATTTCTCCTCCTGTCACTGCTTATTTTCCCTCAACTTTGTACCAAGTAGCATTAGTCAAAGCAGCAACAATAAGTAACACCAGCAGTTTTGAGCATCTTAAATAGAAATTTCATGATATACACTGATCTACTCAAGGAAAGAACCTCATTTGGAGACTCAAATATAATGTGTTTCCTAGAATCCAAATTCATATACATTCGTTCTTGTGATTACTAAGTTCATTGAGGACTAATGCACTTTCTAGTGTGGTAAGGAAGTAGATATGGATGCTTATAAATATACCTTTAAAATACCAGCATATGTGTCTAGCTAAGTAAAAAAAAAAATGAGTTTTTGGTGGGCTGGGGCCGTAGCTCAGTGGTAGAGTGCTTGCCTAGCATGTGTGAGACACTGGGTTCAATCCATAGCACCACATAAAAAACAAACAAAGGCATGCTGTCCATCTATAACTGAAAAAAAAAAAAATCTTTTAAAATGAGTTTTCGGTAACAATTGTTATAACATTTTAGAGCAGTTTAGTAACACCCAGATGTTTTAATATAAATGAATAGAATATTTTCAATAAGTATGCCCCATAATAGCAACTAGAAATAAAAATATCTGTCCCTTTATGTTTCATACATAAACTGGGAACATTCAAACTCTAACACAGGTAAGAAATGCAGAATAATACCTTAACAACAAAGAACATTTTTATTTACCCTCTTTTTACATAATTCTTGGGGTAGGAGGATGCTTCTCCACGGTTTCTACTAATCCTTACCTATATGTCTCAGAGACTTTTTAGAGAAAAATATATTTTTAAAATTAAAGAACTGTCCTTTGAATATCAACCAGCGAAGTGAATAAGCATGTTAATCTATTTTATATTTTTAATATATTTAGATAAATAGATGATCGTCTAGATGACTGTTAAACTAACAAAAAAATAATAACAAGTAACAAAAGAAGTGTGAATGAATGATTATAACCTAAGAGTTACTGACAGCTTATCCAGCAATTGATAATGTTTAACATGGGTCGTGTTTAATTAAAAATCTATCACTGAGCTCCTTATTTCATTTTTAAAAATATATTTACCTGGAAAAATGCATCAGTTCTCTTCCACAAGACAAACTCTCTTGACTTCACAAAGAAAATGGAAAATAATTATAGGTATAACTGTTAAAGAACTATCCATGCCTGTACTCTCTTTTTTACAGAACTTCTATAAGACTGAACTGAACAAGGAAGAGATGTATATACGCTATATTCACAAACTTTATGATCTGCATCTCAAAGCACAGAACTTTACAGGTAATTCTGTCTTTGGCTCAGGTTTGGGGAAGTGGGCTAGATACTGATGTATTAAACATGATAACTCCTCTGCTTTTTGTAATTAGAGCTGAGGACTCAGGCATTTCTACTTTAAATTTAAAATATATTTTAATTAGGTGTATGTTTCTAAGTACTCTATTTTTTGACTATTTCTCTCTGTATAACTTTTTAGAGGTTGATCTTAGGATTACAAAATACATACCTAACATTTTACAATCTACTAACAGTGTTTTGCCACTTCAAGCTAAATATGGGAACTTTATAACCATGGAGATCCCAATATTCTCCCTATTTGGTGTTATACTTGTCATATGAATTACATCTACCTTCATTCAAAACTGTAGCAAATAATGCATTGGTGTTGCCTTCAACATTCATACCTATCTCAAAAGAATTTTAAAATGATGTTTTATATTTGCTCAGATATTGGCCTTTTCTGTAACTCTTTCCCCATTTATGAAGTTCTTGATTTCCCTGTTATTATTTCCATTAAACTTGAATAGTTTGATTTTTCTTTTAAGGCTGATCTAATGATGAAGAATTCTCTTCATTTTCCTTCATTTGGGAATGTCTTCATTATACATTGTGTTAGTCAGCTTTCCCTTACTGTAACAACATACATGCAGTGGTCATCTTATAAAGAGGAAAGGTTGGGGCTCACACTTATGGAGGTTTCAAGCCATGGTTGGTTGGCCTTATTGCTTTTAGACCTGTGGCAAGGCAGCACATGATGGTGGGAAGCATGTGACAAAACAAACCATGCATCTCATGGCCAGAATGTAAGAGAAGAAGGAAGTATTCCCACTATCCTTTTCAAGGACACACTCCCAATGACCTAAAACCTCCCAGTAGGCCTCACCTCTTAAAGTTTCCACCTCTTCCCAATGGCAGTAAGCTGGGGACCACGTCTTTAACACATAGACCTTTGGGGGACATTCCACATTCAAAGTATGGCACACCTTTGTCACTGAAAGATATGTCTGCTAGTGTAAAATGCTAAGTGAATAATTCTTTTGTGCCAGTACTTTAAAAATACTGCTCCACTGTCTTCTGACTTCCATGGTTTCTGATGATAAATATGTAGTCATTCAAATTATTCACCTATTCTAATGCATACCTGTTTTGTGGTTGCTTCTAAACATTTCTCTGCAGTTTTCAGTGGCTTAATTATGTTATATATGAACTTATTTGAGTTTGCTGAGCTTTTTAGATCCATACCTTATTTCCATCACCAAATTTGGGAAGTTTTCTGGCATTATTTTCCCAAATGCATTGCTACACCAATCCTTCATTTCTCTTTTGGGATTCCAATGGCATGAATATTAGGCCTTTTTTCTGATAAGTTCTTAGGTCTCTGTCCATTTCTTTCCCCAACTTTAGTTTCATATTGGATGATTTCTGTTGATTCAGTTTCAAGTCCCCTGATTCTCTCCTGTCATCTCCATTCAATGGTTGAGCCTTTCCAGTGAACTTTTTGTTTGTGTTATTGTATTATTCCATTCTAAAATTTCCATTTGATTATTTGTGTTTCATAGCTTTCAATTTCCTTTCAGTTATTCAGAAGTGTTCCTATTTACTACATGGAGCGTGGTTATAATAGCTGCTTCATAGGCTTTGCCTATGGTTCCAATATGTGAGTCATCTTGGGGTTGGCATCTGTTAATTGCCTTTTCCCTTTGAGAGTTGTTTAGCTTCCTGGTTTTTTGAATGTCAAGTAATTTTGGATTATATCCTGGACCTTTTGAATATTATGTTTTGAAACTCTGGGTTCTCTTAAAATCTTCTGGAGAATTTTGACATTTTTTTCTTATTTTAACAATCAATCCAGTTGGGTTCAAACCTCAAGTCCTGAACCCCCTTTTGAAACTTGTGATTCTAGTGTTAAGTTTTGTTTTCAAAATTCTTGCATTACCATTCTGGTTTTTCCTTCATGGGTACCTCCCAACAAGGAATTCTGGAACCTAAGCAATGGTCCACACCATTGTTCATGTCTCAGAGTCTTAGTCATGTCTCTCATGACCCATTCTACAAATGTGCACCTTGGACTTGAGCCCAAGACTTCCTACAGAAACTAGAATATCTCTTTCTCAAATTCTCCATCTCTGTATCCTCCCCATTCTTCCCAACTCCCGGGAACTCCCTTTCCTAAGATTGTGATTATAAGAGCCAGGGTTAGATCCTCTTCATACTTTGATGTCCTCCCTACAGTTCATCTGCTGAGGCCCAAGCAGTGAGATTTAAAAAAAAAAAAAAAAGCCATGATCTCACTTTCCTATGTACACATATGAATATACACCACGAATCTCACCATTGTGTATATCCACAAGGAACTAATTAAAAACAAACAAAAAATTAAATAGCCGAAAGATCAATAAAGTACAGGGAAAACAAGAGGTTGGGAGGAAGGGAGGGAAAAGGGAAGTACTGGGGACTGAATCAGAACAAATTATATTCCATGCTTTTATCATTATGCCATATTACATTCTGTTGTCATGTATAACTAAAAAGAACCAATAGAAAAACATTTAAAATTTTTAAAAAGCCTGTGGAAGATACTGCTGCCACTGCCATCGCTCCCACTGCTGCTGCTGCTGCTGCTGCTGCCACCACAGTTTGCAGCTTTGTTCCTAAGTCTTCCTTAGAGGGAGACCAGAAGAGTCTGCAGGCTCACAGGATGTCCCCTTCCTAGTTCTCTGACTAGAAGGTAGCTCTCTCTTTCTTCCCATTGGCTGTGCCAGGAAAGAAGGAAATGTAAGTCAGACATGGGAGTCAAAAGATAAAAGCTGAACTCAACTCATCGTGTTCATTCTTGGAGTTTTGGTTTTCCTCCTCAGTCTACCTGCTCTTAGTTTGGATTTCAGAATCCTCCAATGGTTGTATTATATATTCTGTCAGGAACATTTAATTGTAATCCCTGAAAAAGAGACAGTGGAATATGCTCACTGTGTCTTAACCAGACCTTTTTTTTGGAGTCAGGAACTACGAATCTTGGCTTTTTGCTGCACTTTTCTTCCAAAGGACTCTTGAATCAGGCCCCCACCCAGCCTTAAATGAATAAAGGAATTTTTTCTGTAGTGGTCCCCAGAATTTTAACCTGCCTTTAGCTGTGGTTCCCGTGCTTCAATTGATAGCATCACTCTTTACTCAATCTGTGAACCTTGATGTTATCCTTGACTACTCCCTCAAAGTAGTCTTTCATAAGGTTCTATTGATTCTATTTTTTCAAAATTTTCTCATTTCTCTCGCTTTCTTCATTGTTTCCACTTTCACTGCCCCTATTAGACCTCATCATTCTTGCCCCTACCCCCTCAACAGTTACCAATGTTATGCTTGAGAGCCAGGAACAGCACACTACAACTTGGAAACCAAACACCTGTTTCTTTAAAGAAAGTTTTGTTAGAACTCAGCCATGCCCACTTATTGTTGTATTGTCTATGGCTGCTTTTGTGCTACAGTGGCAGACTCGAGTGGTTGAGTTGAAGACCTCCTGCCCCACAAGCCTAAGTATTTTCTGTCTGTCCCTTTAAGAAAAAAATTCCTAACCCCTTCTCTAGATGTGAGTCTGCTGTCAGTTTATTATTCTACAAAGTAAAGTTCAAGTCCTTCATTCAAGGTCTACCGTAATGGGACTACCCTTTGTCTGTTCAGCCTCATCTTTCCCCTTGTACATACCTTCCTTTCATCAAATGGCCCCAGCTCCTGTATCCCCTCCTTGAAGTCTCCACCACCCCCCAAACCCCTCCCATCCTCACTGGATTTCTCTTCTTTCTCTTTTGCTCAATGAATCCAGTCCACCAGCTTTCACCCATAGGACAAGCTGATGTTTCCATTTCTATTTTTTTCCCCACATTGTATTTTTTTTTAAATTTCCATGGGCACCCTTATCACATTGTTTTTCTTATCAATTATATATTACATTTAAAATATATATGTATGTGTGTGGGTATACAGACAGGTAATACCCAGATAAGGGGTGAGTTCTCTGAGGACAGAGACGATGTGCTCTTCTCCTTAGTCTTCTAACTTTTTAAAATAGTAGCAATGTAAGATTTAAATAAGTGTATCACTAATGAACCATTAATTAAATTTTAACCCCTGGTAGGAAGATTGTCCTTCAGTATTGATAGGTCTTGAATCACTAAGGAAACAACATAGAAACCAATTTTATTTTCAAGTCCATAAAATAAGAAATGAGAGAGGGAACTGAGGACAAGCTATTCTAGATATGAAATGGATATATTTTGGTTCTTTGAAATAAAGTCCAAATTTATCAGATATTTCAGAATATGTCTTTTTTCCTTATTTACTGAACTTGCAGTTGTATGTTCCCCAAAGTCATAAGTAATAAGTACTTTCCCCGTTTAACATTTTGTTCTTCTTTCTTATGTGCTCGTTTTTGTGTGTCCTTGGAGAAAGTGAAATTGATGGGAAAGCTTTTCTTTCTGTTTAAGTAAATCAAAGGCATTTCTGGTTTAGCCCTTTTCAAAACTTTCACAGTGCTACCTCCTGTTCCTTATGCATCTGTACTCTTCTGTGTTGCTTATTTTTGCATATTTGTGTCCTCACTGGACACTTCTCAGAATAATGGAATAACCCACATTTAATTGTGTAGTGATAGATTTTGTTTAAAATCGTGAACACTTTTTAAAAGATCATCTGCTGGAAATTCATTCCTCTTCAACACATGTTGTCTTCTAAAGATGCAGAATAGGGCTGGGGTTGTGGCTCAGCGGTAGAGTGTTTGCCTAGCATGTGTGAGGTCCTGGGTTCAATCCTCAGCACCACCTGTAAATAAATAAAATAAAGGTATTATGTCCACCCACAACTAAATAAATAAATAAGTATGCAGAATAAACATATAACAATGCATGAAAACATTCACAGTTTATCAGCTTTTTCAAAATCAGCTTCATGGTTTGATCATGTTGTTTGCACCTCAAAGTACATATGCTTCTGTTTAGTAAGAAATTTTCTACAGCTTACTCTCCCCACACCATTTCTCTTAGCTATGTATCATCATTTCCCCAAATCAGGTTCTGAAGGACTTGTCGTTTGTCTTCACACCTTTCTCATGCCCCTGTTCAGTCATATGTCAGCTTCTCCTGGCAACTTGCACATGCCTCCTTGTTTTTCCAGACTTTTCCAGGGGCAACTCACCCACACCTGACACTCCAAGTATTCCTGGACCTTCCAAAGACAAGCAAGATTGGGAAAGCAATTATAGGGGCTGAAGATATTTATTGCTCTTTCTTTGTTTTTTAATTGTGGTGAAACACACACAGCATAAAATATGCCATTTTAACCATTTTTAAATGTGTGGTTCAGCAGCAATGTCATGCAAGCATCACCACCATCTCTCTCCAGAACTTTTTCATCTTCCTAAATGAAACTCTGTACCCATTAAACACTATTTCTCCACTCTTCCTGCCCTTGGCATCCAACAATCTATTTTGTCTTATGAATTCGACCTTCATGGTCCTTTAAGTCACTCTCTGTGAACAGCTGTGGGAAGGCTATTCTGAGTACTATGGTGCAGTGGGTGTCACCAAAAAAATTTGAAAGAAGCAAAAATAAGTCCTAAGGTCCAACATTAAAATAAATTAGGAGTTGTTCTGCCAGCTAAGGGGGAGAGGCTTGAAGAAACTCTGGAGCAATGATGGAGCAGAGAGATTGGCTGCAGCCAGATCTTGAGCAGTCTTCTCCCTTAAGAAGCCTAAATTTATTTATTATTTTAGCTAGTGAGAGTCATGGACTGCTTTTCATCAGGGAAGCAACATGACTATTTGCAATGAAGGAAGATCGTATTGTTAAAAGTACACAAACTGAAGGGAAAAGATAGGAGACTGCTAAAGAGTTCTAAACATTGTTGCAAATAATAATAATAATAATAATAATAAAATGAAGCCAGGAGATTGTTTGAGCTCACCTAAGGGTAATTGAAGAGGAAAAAAAAAAAAAGGCCAGAGCTTGTATCTCCTGGGATTTCTGTACTGAAGAGACAAGAGTAAATGATAGGGCTGCAGGCCTTTCAAATTACACTGTTTTTTTTTTTTTTTAACATGGAGATGGCCTCTTTAAAAATTTTTAAGGAGGACTCCAGAACTTAAAATGTTACTTCAGAACTTTATGTATAGTTGCCTTAAGACAAATAAATTAAGAAATGGTTTGTCATGTGTTGATATTGTGTTAGAAGCTAATATTAACACTTTTGAGAGACAGATGGAGTAGTGTTTAAATGGATTAGTAACATAGGGTTTGTCCATTTTATTCAATTTAAAAAATAAGTTGCCTATTATAATATTAAAGGAAAAACTATTATAATATTTCATTAATGATAGTGAATTCTGGTTCCTATTCTTGATCTTTTTGACCCTATATGTGGTTCAGGAAAAGAAGAGATCCCCAATATGGCAAGTATTCTATAAAACACATGACCTATCCATTAACCATGCTGAGACTCTGTTTATGTATGTATAGAAAAAACACCCTTTTTGTTATTGTTGTTGTTATTGTTTTCCCTACTTGAAATTCAATCATACCAAGCATGTAATGATTTCAGTAGCCTTTTACTGAAATTTGTGGGGCCAACTATTGGGGTCTTATCACACAGACCAAGACATTATGCTTGCTCACGCACTCTCTCTTACACACACACACACACACACACACACACACACACACACACCTCATTTAACTTTTCCACTTTTTCCAATTCTTCCTTCTCTGTTGTTAGGTTTGTTTTTTTGTTTTGTTTTGTTTTGTCTTTTTACTTCACTAAGCTTCTCACTGGCTTCTTTGCCCTTCTAAATTCTGGCTACATCCTGAATGTCTCCTCCCCTGAAAGCAGTTTCTGTTTTTCAACTCTTTGTTAACCAGAAAATTCCAGATGCCTTTCTTTTTGTTGGTTTTTGTTGTTTCTTAAGCACACCCTTTCAAAGGTCTCAATGATCCCCATGAACTGTCCTAGCAAACAAAAGTATGTCCCCCACCCTGCTATGTCTTGGAACCAACTATGACAAGAAATCTTTGAGCGTGTGTATTATGACCCTAGCATATGGTTGTGGGCAGGGGGACAATAAGAGAAATGGAGAACACTAGCCACTGAACAGGTCCTGATAATTCCATTATCCAAGGGAACTCACCATTCATTAAACTGCTGTTGCATATATTCTGGACACTTTTCTACTATCTCACAAAATTTAAAGAACATTTTTTCCTGACCCCATTTGGAGGGGGATGATTTGGGGTCACAGCTAAGTTCCTGCCTCCCCACTTGACTTGCAGAGGCTGCCTACACTCTACTGTTGTATGATGAGCTGCTGGAGTGGTCAGATCGGCCCCTCAGAGAGTTCCTGACCTACCCCATGCAAACAGAATGGCAGCGCAAGGAGCACCTGCACCTCACCATCATTCAGAACTTTGACAGAGGCAAAGTAAGTAGCCCTGCCTGACCCATGGTCTTGCCTGAGGTGACTATTGGCATCCCTTTTCCTTTTATTTCTAGTGTACGGATGCTTACCTCCTTGATCAGGAATCCTCACACTTTAATGTGCATTAGAACTTGTTAAAATGCAGACCCCCAGGCGCTGCCCTAGACTTTCTGATTAAGTAGCATGGGGCTGCAGAATCTGTGTTTTTTTTTAAGGAGGACTCCAGAAGTTTCCCATGTGTACAAACTTTGCATTACACTTTGATAAACTCATCTTGAGGTTTCGATACCCAGTCATAGTTCATAGACTGGATGGCTAATGAACAGAAGAAATTCAAGCCAGCTCTCTGGAGCCCCCTTTTAAGGGCACTGATGCCATTCATGAGAGTTCCACCTTGGTGACATATTCACCTCCCAAAGGACCCTCCTCCTAATATCATCACCTTGGAAGGTAAGATTTCAACATGTGAATTAGGAGGAAACACAAACATTCAGACCGTAACACTTAGCTATTTTATTTTCTGAAAAACCATTATCAACCTTCATGTGCTGTCCATATTGGCATATATTCTGCCCTATTCCACTTTTTTGTTTAAAATATAGAAAACTAGATTTGCTAAAGAAGTTTATGGCATCCCTCATATTTAGAGATGCCTGGGGCTTTGAAAACACTTACTACAATTAAGTACTTTGCCCCACATCACTTCCTCTCCTTCTTTAAGGACTCACAGTTCTCTTTTTTAAACAATTGTGAATCTGACCACCACTGTTTATTTGATCAGAACCATTGGATGTTTCAGTGGTATATCTTGGATTTAAATATCTCTTCTGAATTGCAAAAATTAAACCGAAAAAATTAAAACACAACTAGTGGCTGTCATTCTCGTACAGAACAAATTTGGGTATGCCTAAAAATGAGATGCAAGGAAATTGCTTCTTTCATATCCTCCTCCATTATTTATATGACTATGCTGTCATAGCATTATGTTAGTAGCAAAAGAAATGGCTTTGTACCCTCCTGTTATAAATTTTTTACCTATATGATAAGCTGTTATAAAATTTCTTGGCTTCCTATATTGGACCATTTCCAGGAGTTTGTGCCAGATCAGAGTTTGCAAACTGTGACCCTCAGGTCAAATGGCTTACCTCCTTTTTCTATACAGCCTACAAGTTACAAATAGCTTTCACATTTTTAAGTGCTTGAAAGAAATTGAAAGATGAATATTTCATAGCATGTGAAAAATAAGTGAAATTTACTTTTGTGTTCTAATTCTTATTAGAACACAGCCATATTCATTCATGTCTATGGAGGTTTTCATGCTATAACGGATAAATGGTTGTGGCAAAGACTATATGGTCCTCAAAGCCAAAAATATTGACTGCCTGGCTCTTTGCAGAAAGTATGTTGATGCCTATAAAACAATGACTTTTTGCATTTCTATTGAGAATACCCAGCTGGGTTGGACCCATACAATTTGCAAATGCAAGTTAGCCCAGCAAGGAATCCAGGTACCAGCCCAGATAACTGGACCTTAGGGTCTGTAATCCTTCCCTCCTCAGCACTGAGGGCCTGTGCGTATCCATCTACTTGGCCATTGTGGAACTGCAGTCATTTCAAGATGATGATTCTGAACAACACCAGAAAATATTGTTCCTGCACCATATGTTAATGACTCTAGTGGTGTGGTATCATTTCCAACTTTCTAAAGCTTTTAAGTAATCTGCATGTTAATTACATAGTGTTTTCATATTTAAAATTTCAGAGATACTATTCAAGGTATATTATAAAGATTAAGGAGTAAGACTTCATGATATGAACACAGTCATATCCTGACCTTTGGATGCAAAGTTATATAATACGTTTGGGTTACATTTACATCATTCATTTATCCACAGTGCTGGGAGAATGGCATCATCTTGTGCCGGAAGATCGCAGAACAGTATGAGAGTTACTATGATTACAGAAATCTGAGCAAGATGAGGGTAAGCTACCTGGGTGCGTCATAATCAAGATGCACCCTTTTTGATTAACTTTCCACTGTAGTTCTATGAAATCAGCTTTGTGATCATCTTGATATACCTTGCAGGAACCTTTTATAAGTGTTTTCTCTGAAGCGTACTCATCTGTGTAATGCAGAGAAATAGCAAATTGATCTGTGTAATGCTTTTGTTAATATACCAAAAGTGACTCCTCCATCTGTTTCTAAAATGCATCGGAAATACACAATTTAATCTAGGATTAATATTTTAAGTTTATTGTGGAAAATCTCCACACTGTTTGAAGAACTTTCCAGTTGTACACATATCTCTAACTATATGCCATTCTTAGTTTCATAATCTGCAAAGCAAAATAGTAGAAATGACTAGCTAGCCCATTTTAAAATAAATTTAGGGCCACATTGTGTGTCTCCTCTCTTTAGTTTCAGAAAATACAATTTCACTGAACTTAAATCAGGTTTTAGTACCCCCAAAAGACTTTAATGTCTTTGTTCCTGAGCCAGTTGTTTTGTATCACCTTTGGTTTTAGGTTCATACAAGTACTTCTTGTCCTCCAAGTCCTTATTCTTGGGCATCATGAACATTTTGTGTCACTTTATAATATTTAATGAATGCTAAAGTTTTTTTTTAGATTTCTAAAATAGGATCATCAGCTTTTATATATTAAAAAAAGACCATGATATCACCTTTTAATCTTAGGTAACCATTTAAGTGGTGATAACATATACCTTTAATAGCTTTCAAAATTCCTTATACCATAAGTTACTTTTTCACCTGGCAGGAACTAGATCCATACTCTTGGCATAGTATTTCATATCAGCAGTTCATTGATATTTCTCCTAGCATGAAAAAAATTCTTATTTTAACATCAGTTCATCGTGCTGACTCTGGCAGGCACTGCAGTTTTATATAAAAACGTTTCTGTTCTTCTCTTGGCATCCTGTCCCTGTAACAGAAGCGAGGTTACAATGTTTACCCGTGAGAGCCCTTGGGTGCCATAGACATTAAGATTTTTATAAACCCAAAGCATTACACTTCATACCAACTGCTCTTTGGGGTGTTGTTACTGAAGGTGGGGGGAAGTCTTCAAGTGCAGTATTAGTCTTTCTCCAGAAACCCTGGAGATGATAATCATACCTTAAAAGGGAAACTATAAGCTTTATATGCTCCATAGTTTGCACATTTTCAAAGACACGTACTTAAGAGCTTTTAGTCCAGACGGCACTTTGCACTATGGGTCTCCTTTGGTTTGGTTGGTTGGTTTACCCCTGTCCCAACCTGTGCAAGTTTGCACCTTCCAAATGCATTACCAGGTACAAGATGGAGACAAATCCACAGGTGAGTATATCTGGCATGAGAATGCTCCAGAAGGGTTTTGCTTCTAATTTTTTATGTAACTTAATTTTGAAGAAAATATTCCCTCAATAGATTACATGCATAGAGATAATTTGCTCTGTTGATAACATGTAATAATATACCTGTTCCCTTTAAACAAGGGTCACCAAACTATAGCCTGTGGGCCTAGCAGGGTTGATTAGTTGTGACAGAGACTACATGGCCTGCAAAGCCTAAAATATTTGCTCTCTGGATACTTCTAGATTGTTTGCTGATCCTTGCCTTAAAGCATAAAAAAAGGAGTCAATCTTCTTTTCTTCAACTGAATTAAAATGAAGTTTTCCTTTACACAGAAGAAATATCCTCTTCTATTAATTGGTAGGACTGAAAGATGGGTTAGAATACTTATAACCTCTCTGATATCTTCCTAGATGATGGAAGCCTCTCTATATGACAAAATTATGGACCAGCAGCGTCTGGAACCAGAATTCTTCAGAGTCGGATTTTATGGGAAAAAATTTCCATTTTTCTTGAGAGTAAGTAATAAACTGTTTAATTAGCTTTCATCCTACTCATACAAATAACTTCAATCAGGAAAACTAAAATATTAATGACTTTTTATGACTGATAATGACATCATGAGGTTTTTTTTTTTTATTTTTTAGTTTGCAGACACCATATTTAAGCTAGAATGCCTTGTTTTGAATAATTTCCCAAGAATCAACAATCTATCTCTAAGTTTGTCTTACAAGGAGTCTTTGGTAATTTAGTTTCCCTCCTGTGATATTCACAGGTTGATTTTCACAGACTCCCAGTTTGTAATTTTCTTACAGTTGGCATTAGAGAAAAACAGGTGGAGGTGGGGAAATGGAATACCACACGGGGTTGGGTGCTACAGGCTGTGTACATCAGTTTTACATCAACTGTTAAAGGTAGGTTCTGGAAACATACTCTCCACAAGGTTCTGGAGGTGTGTGTGTGTGCTACTGGGGGTTGAACCCAGAGTCACTTTGACACTGAAATATATCTCCAGCCCTTGATTTTGAGACAAGGTGTCACTAAATTGCCTATGCTAGCCTTGAATTTGTGGTCCTTCTGTCTTAGCCTGAGTAGCTCAGAGTAGAGGCATGTGCCACTACACCCTGCTATCCATACAACTTTTAATATCTTTTAAATATCAGAAGGGGGAAAATGGACATTTAAGTTGAAGAAAATGTTGTAATATACTATGTATTATATATTATGCATTAGATAATGTTAGTGTCTCTTTACTAAACCAGTCATAATATAATTTTGAATATTTTTTATGAAGCAAGAAGCCTGTGAAGGCAAAGTACCTAAGGCCCCCTAAAGTCATAATGAAGCCCTGATCAAACTCTGAGTTTTGCTAGCAAGTGCACAGTGAGGTACCCATACATCTATATATTTTGTGCAATTATCGTAAAAGTGTAGACCTTTTAAAAGTAGTTGAGAAGCCATAATTATAAAAAGAGTTTAGGAAATTGGAAAACTTCACTGGCTGATGCAGTAAATCTTGCGTAAAAGTCAGTTACAATAAATCAATCTCTATATCATCAGTCTTCTGAAAACAGCTTTTCTGGACATAATTGGGATTTCCTTCAAAATGAAAGAGAAGGGTTACCCTCTATTGGTTTCTAAAGGGCACTGCAGGGCCTCACTGTGTGTGTGTGTGTGT